TGGGACCTCATCAAAATAAAAAGCTTCTGCACAGTGAAGGAAACATCAGCAAAACTAAAAGGCAACCAACGGAATGGGAGAAGATATTTGCAAATGACATATCAGATAAAGGGTTAGTATCCAAAATCTATTAAGAACTTCTCAAACTCAACACCCAAAAAACAACTAATCCAGTGAAGAAATGGGCAAAAGACATGAATAGACACTTCTCCAAAGAAGACATCCTTGGCCTTGTCATCCATGGCCAACTGACACATGAAAAAATGATCAACATGACTCATCATCAGGAAAATAGAAATCAAAATCACAATGAGATACCACCTCACACCTGTCAGAATGGCTAACATTAACAACTCAGGCAACAAAAGTTGCCTGATGTTGGCGAGATGCAGAGAAAGATGATCTCTTTTGCACTGCTGGTGGGAATGCAAACTGGTGCAGCCAATCTGGAAAACAGTATGGAATTTCCTCAAAAAATTAAAAATAGAACTACCCTTTGACCCAGCCACTGCACTAATAGGTATTCATCCAAGGGACACAGATATGCTGTTTTGAAGGGACACATGCACCCCAATGTTTATAGCAGCACTATCAACAATAACCAAAGTATGAAAAGAGCCCAAATGTCCATCGATAGATGAATGGATGAAGATGTGGTATATATATAGACAATGGAGTATTACTCAGCAATCAAAAAGAATGAAATCTTGCCATTTGCAACTATGTGGATGAAACTAGAAGGTATTATGGTAAGCAAAATTAGAGAAAAACAAGTATCATATGACTTCACTCATAGGAGAACTTTATAATACAAAACAGATGGACATAAGAGAAGGGAAGCAAAAATCATATAGAAACAGAGAGGGGGACAAAACATAAGAGACTCTTAAATATGGAGAACAAACTGAGGGTTATTGGAGGGGTTGTGCGGGGGGTATGGGCTAAATGGGTAAGGGGCATTAAGGAATCTACTGAAATCATTGTTGCCTTATCTGATAACTAATGAATGTAAATTTAAAAAAAATAAATTAATAAAATTAATCTATGAAAACTATAGTTATTATTATACTTCTGAAATATGGCACATTTCCCCCTAAGATCAGGAACAGGACAAAGATGCTCATACTCATCATTTCTATTCATCATTATAAAGCAATGAGGTGAAAAGAAAAAAACCCACAAAGTTTAGAAACCAAGTTAAGACGTTTTGGGGTGCCTGGATGGCTCAGTCAGTTAAGCATCCAACTCTTGATCTCAAGGTCATGAGTTGAATCCCTGCGTTGGGCTCCACACTGGGCGTGGAGCCTACTTAAAAAAAGAAAAGGGAGGGGGAGAATCAAGTAAGACTTTCTTTCATAACTGACAGGATTGTATACACAGAAAATCCAAAATAATCCACAAACTATTTGAATAATATTTCAAATAATAATTTAATTTATGAATGTCATTGGATAAAAATATCAAAGTACAAAAAGAAATTGCAATTCGCGCTAGCTGAAAAATCAAAAAGGAAATAAATAAAAATATTTACAAAGCAAAACATACCACATACCTAGAAATAAATTAAAAACATTCAAGACCTCTACAATTAAACCATGAAATACTGTTAAAAGAAATTACAGACAACCTTGGTAAATGGATGATTATATTATGTTCAATTGGAAGACTCAGTATCATAAAGATGTCAATTTCATTCAGGTTATTGCATCAAGTCAATGCCAATTCCAAGCATACTCTCAGCATATTTGTGAAAATTGATAAGGAAATTCTAAAAATATAGAAACAAATGAAGAATAAAAAAATTGTGTCTCACTCCCAGATTTCCCTACATACTACAAAGCAACATAGAGATTGAGAAGCCATCTTTAGCAATCTAAAGATATGTTAACAGATGGCATCTAACCTTTATGAAAGGATTTCTACAATTACTTAGCCCTTGTTGAGTTACCAGACTTCAGTTCCCCACTGTTGCTAAGACCACAGTAAGCACAACATGCTAGCAGACAAGATTACCTCTATTCCCATATCCGCACTTGTCCACTGCTGCCTCCTCCCCTCTCTGTATACATGACAATTGTCAGGACTCTGACTCAGTGCAGTCTCTACTCTGGTTTCTGAATGAGCATGGGAGCCTGCCTTAAACAAACGGGACACTGCACTGTGACTCGATAACAATTAGCAAGTGAGCCAGTCAGATTCTATTATAATCAACATATTGGAGTTATTCAAAAAGGCCATCGATTCTTTCCTCCCTGAGACTTCAACATGGAAAGAAAGAGCCTGGATCTTCTGGGACCTACAGCAGAGAGAAATAGCCTGCCAGGAAGAATAGCTAACCCAAAAATGCACAGTCAAGACACACAGACAGAATTCATCAAGATAATAAACTCTTTATAGCTTACAAAAATGAGAAGAGTGAAAAGAGAAGCCAGAGACTGGGAAATGTTATTTGTAATATATGTATATATAATATACGTAACATATACACACACACATATATAAAGGTTTTATATATGTATGCATATGTACTTAGATATAGAGATACACATACATACAATAAAGGATAAATACCTAGAAACCCTTGAAATAAAAAAGGAACCAAGCATGGGTGAAATGCTTCAACAGGATGCCCTCATAAAAGGTATCCAACAAGCACGTAAAACGTACTTCTCATCCTTACATATCAGGTAACTGCAAACTAAAACCAAAGCAGGATGTTACCATATCCTCTGCTGGATGGCTGAAATTAGAAAGTTTGGCCAGCTAAATGGAATAATCACAATTTCCACACATTGCTTTTAGGATGATAGGTGTAATCTACCTTTTTGAAAAACTGCAGTAACTATTGAAACTAAAGATAAAGTCTACCCAGGGATCTCATTCCTACATACAAAACGTATATCAAGAGAAATGAGTGTTAAGTCTGTGAAAGGAGCAATTAAAACGTAAACCAGACACCACACTAAGAAACCAAACACGTAATTGTACATATTGTATTTAAGCACTTAGATAAAGATCAAGAAAATCAAGAATAAGCAAACCTAATAAATTGAATGCAAAGTCAAAATTGTGTTTCCTTTGTGGAACAATTATTGACAAGGCAGATAAATAAACTTTCTGGAATCCTGGGAATGTTCTGATTATCAGGGTGTGTACATAAGAAAAATTTCATCAAGTTATACACTTACGAGTAGCACACTTCATGCATATTGGTATATATATGCTTTACTAAAAGAGCAGAAAATGATAAAGGGAAAGTGCCATAGGTATACTTTCAGAAATAAAATGGAAATGTAACGGAAGGGAGAAGTATAGCTAAATGTACCTGAAGAAGCATAAACTAAAGAACTCCTCTTTCTCAAAAAAGCAGAAAAATGTTTGAAGGTGTCAAATATACATCTTCCTCCAGCAAAATAGGATGACACCCTGTCTGATGCTTACAATTATAACTAATCTTCCCTGCCGTCCACAGCTCTCACTTGAGGTCCCAGGGGATTTACATAGCTGTCTTTCCCCTTGAGCAAAGTGACGTGATGGATTGGACCACAGATAACAATCCTGCTCCAAAATGGCGCCAATTCTACATATTCAGGTGATGTGCCAGAGGGACTATAATATCAGCAAAATGACAGTGCTGGAACTTGCCAGAAAATCTAAGAAGCTGTGTATGACCATGATGGAGGAACTTATGGAGAGGTCTACAGAGCTGCTGTCTCTGAGGTTACTGAAGTGAAAACATATAATGTTCTGTTTCAAGTTAGAATTGATTGGTGGGTCCAGTAATCAGGAAAATGAGCCGGAAACTGAAGCCCACCTGGCCCCTATGCATCTGTCTTCATTGGATGGCTCCACTAAATGAAGAATAATGGCTTCTTCTGCCTTCCCATTTCATGCAAACTACTTTCACCAACTCTAACCTGGAACTGGATGAAGGAAATGATTTTGAGAAATGAAGTCCCAACCATGTCCAACACATACAAGCCAGCTCAACCAACTTTACTTCTAGCTTTCTTCTCACAAGGTCTCTTTTTAAACTCAAAACACTGGGTCCAACTCCCAGCCTTGAGTAAGGACAAAGAACAACATACAAAAACAAGGTATCAGAGGCGACTCTTCTTTGGAGAACTTCGCACTTATTAATTTCTGCTGAAATTGCGTATTAGACAGGAAAAGCTTTTAATAGTAAAAACTGATAACATCAAAAACTAGAAGTTCTTAGTTAAAAAAAAAAGAAAGAAAAAAGGAGCACCTGAGTGGCTCAGTCCGTTAAACATCTGACTTCAGCTCAGATCATCATCTCAAGGGCTGTGGGTTCAAGCCCCACATTGGGATCACTGCTGTCAGCTGGTCAGCACAAAGCCCGCTTCAGATACTCTATTCTCCTTCTCTGTGCCCCTCCCCTACTTGCGCTCTCCCCAAAATAAATAAGTATGAAAAAAGAAAAAAGAGAAAAGAAAAAAAATACCGAGTAGGCAATTTCCAGTATCTACCATGCTGGATCAAAATGAAACTACCAATTACAAGAAAAAAAATTACAAAAGAAATCACAAATACCAAAGTGTTGATACCATAATGTTCGTATACTTGGAGAACAATGAGCATTAATTAGAAACTAAAAAAAAAAAAAAAAAAAAAAAAAAAAAAAAAAAAAAAAAAAAAAAAAAAACAAAAAACACTCCTGCCTGCCTATGAAAAACACCTCAAATCCCCTTATGGGTCCAAAAGATTTTGTTATGAAGAACATTTACATCTCAGCCCAAATAAAAGTACCTCACAACTTAAGCATGGTTAGAGCTGAAAAAGTATTAGAGGAAAACTTATCACTTTAAATATTCACACCAGAAAACAGAAAGTGAAAATCAATGAGCCAGCAGTCCACTTTCAAGGTGAGTCACTGATCTGCGCTTCTAGTTAAGCTTCCTTATCCACAGTTAAGTGATGTTCATTGAAGGTATTACCACAAGGTTTACATACACAGGTTTCTCTCAGCTGTGAGTTCTTCAAACAGATAAGCAACAACTTCCTGCTTTCTTACATTCATAGGGTATCTCCGCAATGTTAGACGGAGGATGTGAAAATGCCTTGAAGACACTCCCATATTTCTGACATTTATGTATTTTCTCTGCTGTGAGTTTTCACATGTCTTCGAAAGTAGGCAGGGCACACAAAGGCTTTCCCACATTCCTTACATTCATAGGGTTTCTCTCCAGTGTGGCTTCTTACATGTCTTCGAAAGGATGAGGGACAACTGAAGGCTTTCCCACACTCCAGACATTCAAAGGGCTTCTCTCCAGTGTGCATTCTTGCATGGACAGTAAGGTATGAAGAATGGCGAAAGGCTTTCCCACATTCCTTACATTCATAGGGCTTCTCCCCAGTGTGTGTTCTCATGTGGATCCTAAGGGCTGAGGGATAAATGAAGGCTTTTCCACATTTCTTACATTCATAAGGTTTCTCTCCAGTGTGAGTTCTTATATGTACTGTAAGGTGGGAGGAACTAATAAAGGCTTTCCCACATTCCTTACATTCATAAGGCTTCTCTCCACTGTGAGTTCTTAAATGTTCCGTGAGGGATGAAGAACGGCTAAAGGCCTTCCCACATTCCTTACATTCATATTGTATCTTTCCAGTGTGATCTCTCACGTGTGCTCTGAAGGATGAGGGACAACTGAAGGCTTTTCCACATTCCTTACATTCATAGGGTTTCTCTCTACTTTGATTTTTCACGTGTGTATTCAGGGAAGTGGGAAGATAGAAGGCTTTTCCACATTCCAGACATTCATAGGGTTTCTCTCCAGTGTGTTTTCTCATGTGGATACTTAAGGAGGAGGGACAATTGTAGGCTTTCCCACATTCCTTACATTTATATGGTTTGTCTCCTGTGTGTGTTCTGACGTGGACAGTGAGTTTTGAGGACTCACTGAAGGCCTTCCCACACTCTTTACATTCATAAGGCTTCTCTCCAGTATGAATTCTTATGTGTATTATAAGGTGAGAGGAAGAACTAAAGGCCTTCCCACATTCCTTACATTCATATGGCTTATCTCCACTATGAATCCTCTTGTGTTTGGAGAGTGAGGAGGAACAACTAAAGGCCTTCCCACATTCCCGACATTCATAAGGCTTATCTCCACTATGAATCCTTTTGTGTTCCGTGAGGGATGAAGAACAGCTAAAGGTCTTTCCACATTCTTTACATTCATAGTTCGTCTTTCCAGTGTGAATCTTCATATGTGCCCTAAAGAATGAAGAACAAGCGAAGGCTTTCATACACTCCTTACATTCATAGGGTTTCCCTTCAGTGGGAGTTTTCACATGCTTCTTAAAACAAGCAAGAAAATGAAAAGCCTTCCCACATTCTTTACACTGATAGGGTTTGCTTCTGGCGTGAGACCTGATGTGATTTTTAAGGGATAAATGATCTGCGAAGGCCGTTTTACACTCGCGGCATTCATAGGACTTTACTTCAGTAGTTCTCTTCAGTATATTCAGATGTGAGATTTGGCCGAAGGTTTGTCCACGCCGATTTTCTTCACTATGTTCATTGACGTTCTCCACCACGGGGCTTCTTTTAAAAATAAAAAGCACGTTATTAGTGGTAAATAAATTTTTACCATTTTCAGGGATTATGTACATTTTCTGCCCCATCAAGTTACAAGTTCAAAGTTCTCCCAAAGGGCTCTACCATAGCCAATATTATCAATGAGTTGTTTTGACTTATATAATTTTTCTGATAATTGCTTACAACTGAACTATGTGTCAAATAGTGAAGATCTCAATGTAATTTTCAAAAAAAAAAATCTTGGAAAAATTCTTTATGAATTCACAATTTTTTACCAAGTTCTATATATATACATGTTTTTTTAAGTTTTATGACATTTTAAGATCCTCTCCTCAGGCACTACTTTTTCTTACTTACCTCAAATGTCTCTCACGGTTTTTGTTCTGATAATAAATACCCTGGTATTCCCCGTTTTTGTGTAAAATGGATGACGAAGAATCATTCCTTTTGAATCTAACTATCTTCTGTTCATTGGATATTTTTTGTCCATAAGTATCTTGTGGAGTAACTGATTCTCTAGTTTTAAGTTGAGTCTCAAAACCTGAAACAAAAAAGTAAAGGCACCTATAAGCAAAGGACTTCTGGAAGTGTGGCTGTTTCAGGACTTTGGTAATAATATGCACAAAGGTCAAAATGGTATGCAACTAAGAAATAATTCTATGAAGACTAGGACTGATAGTGACACAAATAGGGAATTATTAGGAGAACAAAACACAAAGGAACCGGATAAAGTGCACATGACCAAATACTAACTTACAAGAGGAAATACAGATCTTTCCAAGAACAAGGATACTGTGAGAATACTGATAAAAAATCAAAACAAGGAATCTGGAAGATCAGACCCCTCAAACAAAACAAAATTTTGCTCTGCTTTTATTAGATTTTTCCAAACGTAATATCCCCCCAACCAGGATAGTTTCTCCCAAGGATTCTTGCCTTCCTGGTGCTCCCCCTGGATAGGTCCTCTTTCCACTGTTTCCAGGTCCTCCTCTTGTTTCCACTGGGAGATCAGATACGGTGTGTGGAGTGGATACCCTAGTAATGCAGAAAGGCTTATCATGACGGAAAACAATGACGAACCATGAACATTTCCATGACAGTCAAAATTTTGCTCTTCAGATACTTTAATTATGGGCAAGGTAAATTTAATTTCAACAAGACGTCAAAAAAGTTTTTCAAGTGGGGGCACGGTAGGGGGGGTTGACAGTGACAGAGACAATGACACAGCCTCTGATTTCTAGAACCAATGTGACAATCATATCTAAACTTCAATATTAGAAGCTGGTCTGATACTCAGGACCCTTTGTTCTCCTGTTGAATATAAAAATCTCACAGAATACCAATCTTAAACAAGGTTATGCTGAGACCATGATAAAATTAAGCAAAACAAGGCCACTATGTAATTTAATCTAAGGGTGACCCCCCCCCCCCCCCCCCCCCCGCAATACACACACACTACTCGGTAATGAAATTTCTACCTCTTTTTGTCAGCATCCAATCTAAAGTGACCACCTGTGGACTGAACAGTGTCCCTTGAAAATTTATGTCCAAACAGATCGATGAAACAGAACAGAGAGCCCAGAAATAGACCTACATAAACACAGTCAGCTGATCTTTGACAAAGGAGCAAAGGTAATAGAGAAGATAGTCTTTTCAACAAAGACTGAAACAACTAGACCCCAACATGGAAAAAAATTAACCTAGACACAGACTTTTACACTTTTCACAAAAATCAACTCAAAAAGGGATCACATGGATCAAAGACCTAAATGTAAAGTGCAAAACTATGAAATACCTGGAAGACAACATAGGAGAAAATCTAGATGACCTAGGGTCTGGAGATGACTTCTTAGATACAACACCAAAGGCATGACCCATAAGAGAAATTCACAAGCTGGACTACATTAAAATTAAAAAAGTATTGCTCTGCAAAAGATACTGGCAAGAGAATGAAAAGATAAGCCACAGACTGGGAGAAAACATCTAGAAAAGACACATCTGATAAAGGACTGTTATCCAAAATAAATAATTTTTTTAAAGTTTATTTATTTAAGTAATCTCTACACCCATGTGGGACTCAAACTCACAACCCCGAGATCAAGAGACACATGCTCTACTGACTAAGCCAGCCAGGCACCCCCATTAACAAAGAACTCTTAAAATTCAACAATAAGAAAACAAACAACCTGAGTAAAAAGCGGGCCAAAGACCTCAACAGACACCTCACCAAAGAAGAGATACAGATGACAAATAAACATATGAAAATATAGTTCAAAATGTCATCAGGAAAACACAAATTGAAACAATGAGATACTACCACACGCTTATGAGAACAGCTAATATCCAGAACACTGACACCAACAAACGCTGGCAAGGAACTCTCATTTGTTGCTGGAGGGAATGCAAATAGGGACACCCACTTTGGAAGATAGTATGATAGGGCAATCACACTTCTTGGAATTTACCCAAAGGAGATGAAAACATGTCCACACAAAAACCTGCACACACAGGTTTACCGCAGCTTTATTCAAAACTGCCCAAGCATCGAAACAATTAAGATGTCCTTCATGGGGCTCCTGGGTTGCTCAGTCGGTTGAGCATCCAACTTCGGCTCAGGTTATGATCTCGCAGTTCATGAGTTCGAGCCCCGCGTCGGGCTCTGTGCTGACAGCTTGGAGCTTGGAGCCTGGAGCCTGCTTCTGATTCTGTGTCTCCCTCTCTCTGCCCCTTCCCCACTCATGCTCTGTCTCTCTCTGTTTCTCAAAGATGAATAAACGTTAAAAAAAAAAAAAAATTTTTTTTAAAAAAAGATGTCATTCAGTGGGTGAATGGATAACTAAAACTGTGGTACATCCAGACAATGAAATATCATTCAGAACCAAAAAGAAATGAACTATCAAGCCACAAAAAGACATGGAAGAATCATAAATGCGTATTACTAAGTGAAAGAAGCCACGGGAAAACCGATACGATTTGGTCCATATGATTCCAACTACGTGACATTCTGGAAAAGCCAAAACTATGAAGACAGTAAAAAGATCAGTGGCTGCCACAGGTTAGAGGGGAAGAAGAGATGAACTGACAAAGCAAAGAGAATTTTAAGGCAGTTAAACCACTCTGTATGATACTATAATGATTGATATATATACCATTACGTATTTGTCCAAACCACATAATGTGTAACACCAAGAGTGAATCCTAATGTAAACTATGGATGCAGGGTGATGATGATGTGTCAATTCAGGTTTGTCAGTTGTAACAAATGTACCACTCTGGTAGATGTTGATAGCAGAAGACACACTGTACCTGTACAGGGGCAGGGCATATATGAGAAATCTCTGCATCTACTGCTCCATTCTGCTGTGAATCTACAACTGCTCTAAAAACAAGTGTCTTAAAACAAAATGTCAGGGACATCTGGGTGGCTCAGTCGGTTAAGTGACTCTTGATTTCAGCTCAGGTCATGATCCCAGCCAGGGTCATGGGATCAGGCCTCTCGTCAGGCTCCTCGCTGAGCATGGAGCCTGCTTAAGATTTTCTCTCCCTCTCCTCTCCCCCCCCCTTCCTCTCCCCCACTAGCGTGCGTTCTGTCTAAAATTTAAAAAAAAAGTCATGTTCACTTGAAACCTCAGAATGTTACTTTGGAAATAGGGTCTTTGTAGATATAATCAAGTAAAGATGAAGTTACACTGGATTGAAGTGGGTCTTCAATCCATTGACTAGTGTCCTTATAAGGATTAACATAAAAAGGGAAAAAGGCCATGTGAAGATAAAGGCAAAGAAAGATTAGAGGGGCACCTGGGTTGCTCAGTCGATTGAATGTCCGACTTTGGCTCAGGTCATGATCTCACAGTTCATGAGTTCGAGCCCCACATCGGGCTCTCTGCTGTCAGCACAAAGCCTGCTTTGGACCCTATTTCCCTCTTTCCCTCTGCACCTCCCCAGCTCCTGCTCTGTCTCTCTCTTAAAAATTAATAAACATTTTCTTTTAAAAAAAGGCAAAGATTAGAATGAGAGAGCTGCATGGGGCACCTGGCTGGCTCAGTTGGTGGAGCATGCAACTTTTGATCGTGGGGTTGTGGGTCCGAGCCCCACATTGGGTGGAGAGATTATTTAAAAAGAAAATCTTAAAAAAAAAAAAAAAAAAAAAAAAAAAAAAAAAAAAGAATGATATGCTGTGTACCAAGAAACACCCAGGATTGCTGGCAACCACCAGAAGCTGGGAAGAGACGGGAGAAATTTTCCCATAGAGCCTTCAAAAGGAGTCTGGCCTTATATTTCCAGTCTCCAGAAATATGAAATAAGTCTCTGCTGTTTTTAGCCACAGTTTGTGGTACTTTGTTATGAAAGGCCTAGGAAACTAATACAGCCAGCTTCCACAGGCCCATCCCCAAATCACTCAACCAAAGCACAAACCCTATAATATGTACTTTTTAACACCTTTCTGAGACATACCACAGCTCCCCAGGTCACTGAGTAATAAACCCCACTTGTTTACAGGTATGTTCCTGGTAGTCTCTGAGTAAAGAACACTGACATCAATAAAATTATCCTAAGGACCGAAACCACAAACCTCCCTAAGACCCAAAGGGATGCCCGAAGTCTATGCCCACACTTTCAACACATAATAAGCATCAACGCTTTTAACCACAAGAAAAAGACAGTTCACTACACAGATGTTTATTTTCATGAAGAAACCACTAGACACAGTAAGTTCCTTGGGGTCAGTGAGTGTCTGTCGTATTTACCACTATATTCGAATTCCTCAGTCCAAATCCTAAAACAAGGTCAATTAGTAAAATTGTTTTCTCAACAACTAAATGAAGGAATGTTGCCACTCTTACCTAATGAGGCCAGGTT